GTGTGTGTGTGTGTGTGTGTGTGTGTGTGTGTGTGTGTGTGTGGTTACCACATGGGGAGGTTTGAGCGCTCGGATGAACTCGCTGGTCTGCTGGTAGTCGGTGTGAGCGGAGAAGGAGATGTAGTCCACAGACATCTTCAGAGGGAGCTTCTGACCCGACATGGTGACGATCTCCTCCGGTTCTGTCATGATGTGCTGAAAACAAAATTAAATTCAAACACATTTATCGTTTTATTTAAACCAACATGTGGCTCCATTTAGAGGTCCACCTTAGCCAGCGTGCCCTCCACGCAGTAGCCGGCAATGATGACGCCGTTCCTCCGGTCGATGCACCAGCTCTCAAACAGCTCTCTGGACAGGCCGCTCTGCATCATCCCCGGAGACGCCATCACCACGCTGGGGCCGATGTCGTCGAAGTGATCCATGCTCTGAAAAGGCAGACCCGTTAGCGAGGGGCGGGGCCGGCGGGAGGACGGACTGAGCGCGCTCACTGACCTTCAGGTTACTGATGTGTTTGAAGACGAACGGGTTGTTGATGTTGATGGCCTTGCGGATCTTGTCGTTCATGGCGTTGATGTAGGTCTGGTAGACCGCCATGCACTTCCTGGCCAGAGACGAGGCGTAGTAGATGGGAATGTCGTGGAGCTCCGGGTGGTTCTGCCAGTACTCGTCTGGGTCCAGAAGACACAAGATATAATTACTACCAGGGGGATTCAGGTAAAAGAGGACCAGTTCTGAGAAGAAACCCCGATCCGGCCCAGTCAGACCTAGAACCCCCACCCCTGGTTCTGCAGACGGGTCCAGATGGACCAGACTTACCCAGGATGAGCAGCAGCTCCTGAGCTCGGCCCAAAGCGAACACGGGGATCAGACAGCGGCCCTCCCTGTTCACGATGTCGTGCACCGTGTTACAGAACCGAGCCTCCCGCTCCTCCCGCTTCTCATGGATGTGAGTCCCGTAGGTCGACTCCTGTCAGACACAAACACAAGCTACTGTTAGCTACGGTTTGGCTGGTTTTAGCTTCTAAACTGTTGCTGGTAGCAACCATTTAGCTTCTTTTAGCCTCTAAGCTTCTGATTGTCTAATGTTAGCAACGGCGTGGTTGGTTTTAGCTTGTAAATTGTTGCTGCTAGCTACCATTTAGCTTCTTTTAGCCTTGAAGCTTCTGATTGGCTACTGTTAGCTTTGGTTTGTTTGGTTTTAGCTTCTCAACTGTTGCTGCTAGATACCATTTAGCTTCTTTTCACCTCTAAGCTTATTATTGGCTACTGTTAGCTATGGTTTGGTTGGTTTTAGCTTCTCAGCTATTGCTGCTAGCTACNTCAGCTATTGCTGCTAGCTACCATTTAGCTTCTTTTCACCTCTAAGCTTATTATTGGCTACTGTTAGCTATGGTTTGGTTGGTTTTAGCTTCTCAACTGTTGCTGCTAGCTACCATTTAGCTTATTTTAGCCTCGAAGCTTCTGATTGGCTACTGTTAGCTACGGTTTGGCTGTTTTTAGCTTCTTATCTGCTACTGTTAGCCATCGATTGGCTAGCTTTAGTTTCTTATCCGCTAGTTTTAGCTACTGTTTCGCTACTTTTATCAATTAAGTGCAGAAATTTCTCTGGTTCTAGTTTCTGTGAAATAAAAATCTGCAGTTTTACGTTTTTGTTGAGTTTTATAAAAGTGGCCAACTTGTTTATAAACCAAGTATGTAATTTAAACACAAGATGATTTATGAAGTCGTGCAGCTTCAAATCATTAAATATGAGACATTAAAACAGACAGTAAAGGGTTACAGTTCCACAGATGGACTGACTGTGATCAGGATGTCCGGTTTGACGCTGGGGATCTCTGCTGCCATCAAGTGTCGGTCCTCCTGTCGGGAGAAGTCTCCGGTGTACAGCAGCTGCACAAAAACAAACACTTTCACTCAAGGAAACAACATTTAGACTCATCCTGAGTTTCAAAACAAGCGTCAGTGCTTTTATTCTGAAGGTTCTTTCATGAAGCCACTGTTAAAACAAACTTTAACTGAACAATGGAAACTCCAGACTCTGATTGTTCCTTGAATGCATCGTCAGTAAATCATCCTGAGTTCCATCAGAACCTCCCATGGACCTACCTTGACGCCGGCGATCTCGATCATGAACATGGCGGCTCCGAGAACGTGACCGGCGTGGTAACACCAGAACTTGATGCCCGCCACCTCCTTCACCTCGTGGAAGTTGATGGTCTCAATCTTCTCCATGCTGTCCTCCAGGTCTGTCTCCGTGTACAGCATGTCGTCAGCTGAGATGTTGCTGCGAGAAAAATGGAACCGTGACGTCAGAATCACACGAAATGAACAAGTAAAACCTGCAGTCTGAACTGATTTACAAAACTACATGACTTTAAGTTACCTGACTTTAACGTTTTAACTTTACCTAACTTTAATATTAACTGACTTTATGTTACCTGACTTTAAGTGACATCAGTTTTTTGTAATATACATGAATGCATTTTTGGAAAGAGAACATTGATAAAATATTGCAAAACAAATTTCATGTCACTGAGATGAACAGTTGTTGTGATATTTGCATGTG